ATTGTGCTATCTTATCTTACCTTGTAGTATCTTATCTTGTCTTGTCTTATCTGGTGATTATCATTGGGAGGAGGGAGGCGCGAGCGGGAGGAAGAAGGAGGAGGAGGAGGAGTGGGAGGCGTCAGAGTAATAACAAGAACCCCAATCCTTAGGATATGGGGAAATATATTTCACATAGTTGTGTATCTGGGGGCCCTCGGCAGGCCCTGGGGCTGTCAGAACACGCCTCGGGATGAACAGTCGGCCTTGCAGGAAGGATCGGGACTTGCAGCGACCCCGTACTGAAAAATTTCAGACATTGGATGTTCGGGACGTCGTTTTATTGTGCAGCGTCGGGAGGCCGTCGGTCGTTGCCGCTCGTAGTCGTCGTCGTCGTCATCGTTGTCGTCGCCGTCTGTAGCCTTCGCTCGTGGTCGTCGTTTGTCGTCCGTCGTCGCTGTCGCACGACGTTGTCGCCGGTCGTCGTCGGTCGTTGTTTCGTGTGTTTGTCGTTGTTCGTCGTCGGTCTTTGTCGCCGCTGCCACCTCCAGGGGCGAGGACAAAAGAGGCAGAGGAGGAGCACTGGGGGCAACGTAAGTGTGGAGGAGGCTCAGGGGGTACGGTCGGACCGAAGTATAAGATCGAGATCGGCTCGGAGAGGGTACCCTAGGATTTTCCTTGTTCGTCGTATGTTCGTGTGCATCTTCGGAAGGGTACCCTCGGCGGTCTTATGGTTTGGGGTGTTTTGGCCGTCGGAGGGTCTCATGCTCTTGAACGATGTTCTTCTGTTCTTGGTCCGACCGTATACGCATCGAACCCCAATCGCCAAATGATCGCCCACAGGTGCCCGATAGCCCTTGCGGCCCAGGACCCTGGGGTTTTGCCATCGGGGTCATGTCGCCGATCTATCGACGATCTATAGCCGATTCAAGCTCAATGCTTCCCCCCTGAGATGGTCTCCCCTGACCGTGCACCGCACCCGACTAACAGAGGGAGGAGGAGGAGGAGGAGGAGGAGGACGAGGAGGAGGACATGATCGATGATCCTCAGGACGTGTGTTAGCCCAATTTGTGTGTGTGTGTGTTCCCCGTTCAGCTTCGCCGGCGCATGCAACCTGTGTCGGCCCTCAGTCCACCGCCTGCACCGTACTGAAGGCCTTGGGTGGCCAAGCACACGCCACCCAAGCCCACGTCAGTGGCAACACACGTCCTGACCTGAGGATCATCGACTTTTGGACGGGTCTCGCCCCTGTTTGGGCCTCCCAGGGGGGCCCGCGTCGCCTTGGCCAGCACGCGCTCTGGGAGGGGTTCGAGGGTCGTCTAGTTTTATGGCGGTGTCGTTTCGCAGTGTGTCGTGCCGCTGCCGTCGTCGTTCAACGTCGCCGGCCGCCGCCGATGGCCTCGTCGTCGCTGTCTGGGGGGGATGGGGGAGGCGGAGGAGCAGGAGGAATCCTCGCGCATCGTGCTCTTCTCGTCCTATTCCTGCCTCTACTCCTTTCCCTCCAGCCTCCCTCACGCCCCTCCCCTCTCTCTCTCTGCCTCCTTCTCTTCACCTTCCCTTGGCGAGGTCACACGCAGGTGGCGTAGTTTCTCGCGACGACCACGACGACGACGACGACAACGACGACGACGACGACGACGACGCGACGACGACGCGACGACGACGACGACGACGACGACGACGACGACGACGACGACGACGACGATGGCGGCGACGACGATGGCGGCGGCGGCTACGAAGCCGGACAGCGACGACAACAGCTCGCAGACGGACAGGCGGTGAGCAGTACTTACTCTCCCCGCCTCCATCCTCGTCTTCCCCGTTGTGCTCCTGTGATAAGATCGTCGGAGATCCATGAGTCCGCAGCCGTTTCGGTCCCAGCCTCCTCTGCCCGAGGCCCTGGGCAGGCCCCCACCTGTGAGGAAAATCGTGGAGGCCTCGCGCGGTGCGCGACAGTAGTATCATCCAGTCCACGTCCGCTTCGTAAGAGGCGGGTCGACGTTCGCGCGGCGATGCTCTGACGGAAGTCCAACGTGAACCCAACGTGAGTCCGACGTAAATCGGACGTAAATCCGACGTGGATCCGACGTAAGTTTGGTCTCAAGTTGTCGTGCGAGGCCTCCAGGATCTTCCTCACAGCTCGGTGGCGCGCACGGGGCGGAAGTGAGAAAATGCAGGCCTTCTCAGAAGGCGGCGGGACTTCTCAGAAGCCCGCAAGCCCACTGGCCGTCTGAAAAGTTGCGTGTCCCGCCCCCTCTTGCTTCCCCCCGGGCTCGCCGCCGAATACTTCTCACATCGCCACGGCCCGGCGCCCAACCCCGCTTTTCTCGGCCCATGGCCGCCTCGAGGCGCGGAGGCAGGCGGCCCGCCGACGAGCTCTCCGTGGCGGTCAGCATGCCCTGCGGCGCCGCCGTGGGGACCTTCAGGCCAGCGGCGCGCCTGGGGGGTCAGGCAGAGGCCCAGACTCGGGCGTTGCGCAAGGGGGGGCGATAAGTGAGGGGGGAGAAACCTTCACGGGTCCTAAAGGGCCCCCCTTGGGGCCCGCAGAGGGGGGTAGGTGGCGAGGGGACGGCTGCTTAGAAGCAGCCTCCTTGGAAGAAGCCTCCCCGGCTCCCCCTGCCCCCCTTGTGCGCGCCGCCAGAAAGAAGGGGAGGGGTGAAGGTATGCTTCATGTGCCGGGGCCCCAAAGGGGGCCCTCCGGGGCAAAAGGAGACGATGGGTGCACGTTTCTTCGCCCCCCCCCCCCCTCTCCCCCCTTTCACGCACCCCCATCAAGCAACGCCCAACAGGGCCCTGACCGCCCCAAGGACCGTCAAAAATTCATTCGGGGTGAGAAACCGGCCCTGGGGAAAGGGTCGGGATTTCCGGGGACCCCGCATTGAACATCGGATGTCTGAGGGACGGGGCTTCTCAAAAGGCTCAGAAGGCTTCTAGCTTTCTGCAACAGCTCTCCGCGCCTGCTCCGAAGCCACGGATGGCTCCTCAGAGGCCAGAGGGCTTCTGAGGCCACGCCGTCTCCGGCGGAGGCTGGCTCTTTGTGGTGTTCCCGGGGGCGCGCCGCCGATCAGGCTCCGGCCGTCCTCCACCGTGGCGGAGCTGAAGACGGCAATCGCCGGCAAGGCTTCGGGCTGCCCTGGCGCGCGGGCTGTGTGAGCCCAGATCTGCGACGATATTCTGACTGGTGTTTGCCAATTCTTTTTCCACGGTTTCGGCCTCTGGGTCCCGTTATCGGGCTGCTGGGGCCATCAAAGGTGGATCTGGGACGCGAAGCTCCTTCGAGGGAAGCGGTCGGGACATCTGGGGCCGCAGGTTGAACAGAACATATCGGCGGATGCCAGGGTGGAGATGTCACGGCGGGCGTTTCCTGTTTCCGCCCCGCTCTCGGGGCCCTCCTGGGGCACCCCCAGGGCCCCCACCGATCGGCCCCGCTCATGAAGTCACGAATCACGAAGGTGGAGTGGAGCGCTCTTGTCGTCTTTTCGCGGCGCCGCGAACTGTTCACGGCGCCGCATGCTTGAGTGCGCACAGGCGGCCACCCTGGGGCAGGTGGTCCAGGCTGGCCTCGGCAGGCACCACGGGCAGTCCCAGACGGCTTGAACCACCCCAACCTGCGACGAGGGGGGTGGAAGGCCGCCCTGAGCCATCCTGGGCGCCCGTTGAGGCCAGCTAGGCTCCTCCAGGGCTGTCAGCCTGCCAGTCTGCACCCCCAAGCCGTGCCAAGCATCGCGGCGACGGACGAGGCAACAAGGGCGCACGGAGAGCACTCCCCGCTCTTCCAGACCCTCCTGCTCCCGACCGACGACCCCCTGCGCCCGACGATACTGGAAGACGGCCTGACGCTGCGCGAGGCCGGCGTGGCGGGGGACACAAGTCTGACCTTGGTACGGCTGACGTCGTGCGGAGGTGAGATCGAGGAACGAACAAGTGCAGAAAGATAAGCTCTCAGAGGTCCGCGCAGATTTCGTGGATCGCTCTCCCAGGCGCGGGGAGCGCGCCAGGGGCGTCGCCGGAGGCGCCGTCAGGGGGCTCCAGCGCCGATCCAAGAAATTCGCGCGGACCTCCGAAAATTAATGTTTATGCAATTGTTTGCCCCCCGACGAGAGCGCTCTTCCCTCCTGCCACCTCCAGCACCAGTGCGTCCCGTTCATCCGGGGCAGCTCGACCGGGACCGCGCGGGACCTGTCGGACCTGACGCAGTGCCTGATCGACAACGGCGTCTACGGCAAGTACGCGGAGTGGCGGGCCGAGTACCTCTCGTGGCGCCAGGGGAAGCCCCGCGGGGCCAGCAGGAGAGCGTTTTTGCACCCCCTGGCGAAAACGGGCGTGACCAGGGGTGAGGAGGGGAGGAGTGCTGTGACGTCACGATTCGCGCTGGTGCCGTCTGTATGCCCAGGAAGCGCTAGTTCGCAGACGGCGCCGGCACGAATCGTGATTCTACCAGGGGTCACGGGCGTTATCGAGAATGGTAAGAAATGGGCTTCAGGGAGCTCGCCGACGTGGCCGCGCTGGGGGGCGCGCCAGACCCCGACGCGGAGAACAGCGCGTGGCGCGATGGGTACCGCCGCTGGCGGCAGGGCCGCCCTAGGGGCGCCCGCGGCGAGGCTCGTTGCAGGGCGAGTTGAGACAGCGGCAGCTCAGAATCGGTGCTCATTTCGACTCCTCCGACTCGATTCGGTTCGACTTCGGAGTCACATTCATATATTTTGGTTTATCAGCGGAGGTCGTACTATAGCCTGCCGATGTTCTGATGGCTCGACTTCTCTCGACTGAGCTGCCGATGCCGCCGATTCGATTCATTTGGATCGCCGATCCGACTTATCGATTCGATTCTGGGCTCTCCTGCCGGACCCCTCCCAGGGTCCAGACGCACCAGTTTTCCGAGTTGCGTCCAGCCGTGGCGACGAGGGGGCCTCACCGAATGCCAACGACAGTCAAAATCAATGAACATGGTTCGATGCTTCATCAAGACCACCCTCGCATCCCTGCTTCTTCGGCCCATTCTGAAGCAACGCTGACGTCCAAGGAGCCCTAGAGGGTAAATGGGACTTCCGAGGGTCTTGCACACTTACCTTGCATCCGTACTACGGATGTTGACTGCAACGTTGTCCCAACTCGCCCGAGAGGCCATCTATGCCACTGCCCGCCCTCTGAAGGCTCTGCTGCAGATGCAGGGCGGGCTGCGCTCGCGGCTCAGCTCCGGCGTGTCGATATCCGTCGAGGAGGGCGGGGGCGAATCGCCCTCCCGGCACAGCGTCGGCGACCTGTCCGACTGCAGCACTGCGGCCGAGCTGGCGCAGCTGCCCGCCGTGGTGTACGACGTAGTGGCCACCGACGAGGGGGCGCCAGCGCTGGTGCCGACAGACAGGAGGATCAAACATCGGCACAACCATTAACTTTCGAAGCTCCGCGCGAGAGTGTTGGATCGGCGCGGGGCCCCCCCGACAGCGCCTCCAGCGCCGTCCCTGGCGCGCCCCGCGCAAATTCATCCGCTCCACGGTGCAGTGCCGATCCAAGTTATCCGCGAGGAGCTCGGAAAGTTTATGTGTATGCCGGCTTTGGTCCTCAAAACAGACGGGCCCTCGGTACCGCCGATACCGGTTGACGAGTTCCCAGCGGAAGCGTTGGTCACCATCCGTTCTTTCCGCTTCTTCGAAGACCGCGCGGATCAGTCGCAGGTGTGGGAGCAGGGGCTTCTGAACGTAAACTCTGGCTCCTTGTTGTGGCTGCCCGTGCACCTGCAGCCAGGCATGCACTCAAAGAGTGGCGCAAAATACGGGCACTGGTTCACGATCCACTACATCCAGATCTACGCGAAGCACTTCGGCTCTGCATACCACATGGCGAACGAGGGCAGCTGCTACCCCGCCAAGACGTTCGGGTCCACCTCCGCCAACACGTCCACCATCACGGGGGAGGTCCTGGAGAGGGGCTACTTCTGGTATGTCTCGCCGAACAGCGGCGGCGACGGCTCGCTGTCACAGGATCCGTCGACGACTTGTATGAACCGTACCGCGTGCGTTGTTGTCCGCCGAGCCGCCGAGGCGTCGTCGATCCTCGACCCAGGAATGGTTAGGTGCAAAGTTGTTTCAGCCCGCAGAGCTTAAAAAAGCTGTGCACCGTTCTGCGTCCGAGTGGGTCCTGAATGGGGGTCAAAACACGGTACGGGGCATGGATGCCGTTCCAGGGTCCATTCCGATCAGATTGATCCGATTCGATATCGATTCTAGCCCGCCCGACCTGAGTCGACTTCGTCATCCCGACGATCCGATGCGCCCTAATGCTTGCACGACACTGTTGTGCATCCTGGCGCATCCGATCCGATCTGATTAATCCTCAAGGACGATGCGGCCCCATCCGATGTGCATTCCGATCCGATCCGATCTCCCGATTCGGTGTTGATTGATCTTGCCGTTCTCGTAACGGGGGTCGAGGAACAACAATCTTCATAAACAATTTTTTCGAATGTCCGCGCGGACTTCGTGGATCGGCGTTGGTCCCCCCTCCCTGGCCCGCGGAGCGCGCCAGGGGCGGCGCCGGAGGCGCCGCCAGAGGGCTCCAGCGCCGATCCAAGAAACCCGCGCAGAGCTCCGACGGTTTATGCTTACGGCCTTCCCTCTTCCTCCATGACGCTGTCGCCGCCGTCGTCGTCCGGGATGATCCAAGCACCCCAGGCAGGCCCTCGGCGAGGTGCAGCTGCTGGAGCACATCCCGAGGCCGGAAAACCGCCGAGAACGGATGAGAGCGGATAGAAACGCGAGCGACAATTCGATACTCGAATCCGAGAGCGTCCCCCTGAGCCCGGTCTCGTAACAGGAGGGCTGGTGCCACCTTTGTCGCGCCGGGCCCTTCGACGGCTCCAGCTTTCTCGAGCACTGGCGCCGGGCGGGCAGGCCCCTGGAGCCGCGGGCTCTGCAGGCCGCCCTGCAGGCCGCCACGGAGCAGTGAGACGCTCACGGGGCAACGACATCGATATCTTAGCTGCCCTGATGCGCTCGGACCGGAACGCAGCACGGACCGTGTTCAAAACGTCCAAGTTAACACGCTGCGTGTTGGATCGGCACGTGTTGGCCCACGTTTTGGCGACCTTATCGCGCCAGACCTACGTTTTCAGGCTACGTGTTAAGCTCCGTGTCAACACGCTACGTGTTGCGTGTTGCGTATCGGGGCAGCCAAGGATCTATACACATCCCTTGCCCCAGGCATGGCCTATCCTGGCCCCAGGAGTGGTATATACCCTGAGATCCTGGCATTGCATGTTTGTTTCTCACGGGGCGTTGTCGCCCCATTTCGGGCCCTGGGGCCCTCACATATCGATCCAGCTTGAAAAGTCAGACAGACAGATGGGATCCAGGGCTCCAGTCATGATGTTTGGCGATGTTGCAGTGTGTTCGCAGCGTCGGATCTGAGGGTATGCTTGTTTGCTTAGGCCAGGAGGGCGTTTACACCCCTCCTGGGCCAAGGATGGGCTAGGCTTGGGACAGTGGACATGTGTAGGCGCTGAACCCCACTCCCTGTCGCGCGGAGCGCACCAGGGGCGGCGCCGGAGGCGCTGTCAGGGGGCTCCAGAGCCGTCACAAGCAATTCGCGCGGACCTCCGATCATTTCTTGTTCCAGGGTGGGAGGAGAGGCAAAACAGCCTGACGAGCGATCCACAGGAACAGCGTTCAACTTTGAGAAACGCGGGACATGACGTATGATATGTACAAAGCTCGTTCTAAGAGCAGCGAGCGCCTCCTCATCAGCAGTTGCAGGCGCGTGTGTTGATGCCCACCTACACCGGCTCGCCCCTGTTCTGACGTGCCCTTGCCTGTGCATGGTCATCAAGGGGGGGCGATCGGTGGTCATGGTTTTTCAAGCACCTGCCTTGCCCTTCTGCTCTAATACTGCATGCGCCGTACGTTTACTTGCTCAGAAGCCTCAAGTCAGCAGACTTTGTGTGGCGTCTGTTGGCCTGGCGGCCTAATACACGAATGGCGGATGGCCGTCAGTTCCGTCCCTGAGAGACTGCGTGAGCGATCCATGACCCCCGGTTCATCACGGATCCCGTCACGCCCCGCCACAGAAGACCCGCGGCAGCAAGTGGCCGAAATTCTTGTGGCATCCGCTGCCGAGTAGTTAGGCAGGGAGCCTACCAGTCTCCTGCAGGACTCGTTTCTGGTGGACGGCCATAGCTTCGCCCTCCGTCCGCCTCCGCCCTCTCCGATGCTCTTTCCTCTTTCCCCGCCCTCAGGGGCAAGCGCTCACGGGGGACAGGGGGAACGCATCGACCCCACATCGCCCATTGAACGCGGATAGGGGCCCAGTAGCTTACCCCGTTCAGGAACGAGCGGATTCGCTATCGGGTATCCTCGATTCCAGGTCGACGGCCCCCCCCCGTCAGCCCGTCCCCCCCCCCTGACATTTTCCCTCGGTAGGGCCGTCCCCCAGGATGACGCGGGCGCGTCCACCCCCCCGCCCGCTACGCATTGTATAGCCAGCCGCTGCCCGAGCCGTGGCGTGGCGCCGGGCGCGGAGCGGCTCCCCGAGCCGGGACCCGAGCATGCGCCCGGCAAGAGCGAGGGCACGCGGACGCCCGTCGTCCGTTGATCCTCCACCAGCTCCTCCTTGTCCTTCATCGTCCTCGTCCTCGTCCCTCCTCCGCCTTCTCTTCCCTCTTCGTCCTCCCTCCTTCCCCTCCTCTCCCTCCTCCTGGCCCTTCCTCGCAGATGAGTTACTCGACGCGGAGATCCCCAGATGTGCATCTCATGTCCTGGCATGTCCCGTTGTGGGCGTCTGGCTGTGAGCGCCTGGGTGCGAAAGCGAAGCCAGGTGGACGACATGCACGACAACGAAAACGACGATGATGGCGTTAATTGGTGACGAGGGACAGCGGCGACGACGACGACGACAAGAAGTCGCAAACAGGCGGTGACCAGGTCCCTCCCCTCTCATTCTACCCTATCCTTCCCCGTCCTCCTCGTCGTGCTCCCTGCCTGCTCTTCCTCAGTTCTTCCTTTCCTCCTTCGTGGATCCGCCTTCTGCCTCCCCCGTCCTCTCTCATCCTCCCTGCCAGTCGTCATTCTCCCTCCTCCTCCTGCGTCCTGCTCCGTCGTCCTCCTCGTCCTCCCTCCTTCCCGGCCAAGTGCCCCCCTTCCTGGCGGCCCCCTCCCCTTTTCTTCCTCTCCCTCCTCGCCGTAGCCCCTCCATTTTCTTTCTCTCTTCTCACTTCTTCCGCCTACTGCGTCCTCCTAATTCCTCCTCCTTCCTTGCTCCTCCCTGGCGGCCGTCCTTTTCCTTACACCGCGGTGATCATGAGGTTCTGAATGGACTGGAGTCTGGAGTCTAAAACGAGGGCCTCGCGCTTTGCTGGAGACATCCTCACAATCGGGCCGCGAGCGAGCGAGTGTCCTACCCTTTGGCGGCTCGTCCTTCGGAGTGTTGAAGCCGGCGACTCGCTGGAGACATCCTCAAGTTCTGTTCCTTGACGGCTCCTCCACGGGGTGCTGAAACCAGCGCCTCGCTGACGACGTCCTCACAATCTGCTCCATGGCGGCTCCCCTTTAGGGTGCTGAAGCCAGCGCCTCGCTCGCACAATCCTTACAATCTGGGTTGACAGCAAAGAAGTAGGCAGGCCACAACAGGCAGAACGCGTGAGATCCCAACGATCTGTGTGCGCACGGGCCTTGGCAGCCCCTTGTGGTGCTAAAACCAGCGCCTCGCCCGAGACAGCTTCACCACGTCTGAACGCAGAAGAGTCTGGGCCATCAAGCAAGCACATCGCATGAGACATCGCCGCAATCTACCATGAAAGCAGACGAGCCTGGGCAACCAACCAGGCAAACCGCCTGGGACATCCGAACGATCTCGCCGCGAACGGGGGAGTGAAGCCACCCCTGGCGGCTCGCCGGAAACCAGCGGAATGGTTAAGAGATTGTCAGAATTCGGTTCGAAAGCAGAGGAGTCTGGGCCACCGGCAAGCCGCTCGAGACTTCCCACAATCGGGCCGCGAACAGGGGAGTGAAGCCACCCTTGGCGGCTCATTCTTGGGGTGCTGAAGCCAGCGAGTCGGCTGATGCATCTTTGCAATACGCTTTCAGAGCAAGAGTGCCTGGGCCGCCAGACAAGCAAGCCGCATGATAGATTCACAGAATATGGCCGCGAACGGGGGAGTGAAACCGCCCCTGGCGGCTCCTCTTTGGGATGCTGAATCCAGAGAATCGGCTGAGACATCCTCACGATCTGGTTTGACAGCACAGGAGCCTGGGCCACCAAACACGCACACCGCTTCAGGCATCCCCCCAATCTGGCCGCGAATGGAAGAGTGAAACCACCCTTGGCGGCGCCCCCCATGGGGTACGTACTGAAACCAACAAATCTGAAATACAAACTCACAACCTGCTTTTAAAGCAGAGGAGCCTGGGCAACCAAACAGGCAAACAGCCCGGGACATCCTCACATTCTGACTGCGAACGGGGAAGTGAAACCACCCCTGGCGGCTCACCCTTGGAGCACTGAAACTAGCGACTTGCTCGAGACATCCTGACAATCTGCGAATCTGCGTGGAGGTGAGCCTGAGCGTGAGTGAGTATGAGCGCGAGTGAATTCAAGTCTTCTCGAAAGGAGTGGGAGTGAGTGTAAGTTGGTCTAAGTATGAGTGAGTCTGAGAGTGAGTGAGTCTGAGCGCCGAGGAATAATTCTGAGTATGGGTGAGTCTGAGTGAGTAGGGACGAGGTATACAAGGAGGAGGAGGAGGAAGAGAAGAAGGGCGATGTGTGGAAGGAGTCTGCGGTATCTCAGCATTAACGGAAACGCACCTGTAGGATAGGTGAAAATATGGGCCATTGCGGATTTGTGGGATCGGTGATGGGTCCCCCCGGCGGTGCCACAGGAGCCGCCACTGGCGTTCTCTGCAGGCCAGAAAAGTGATCCAGCACGATGCGAGCAATCCCCGCGGATCCCCCAAGATGGTGTGCTGGTGTAGTTGGCTATCTTTCTGCTCCCGTGTTCCTTCTTCTTGGGGGACCTCTGGCAGGCCTGGAGCGTCTCCCGGCGCGGCTGTCCTGAGGCTGTCCGCCCTCCTCGGGGGATCCCAAACGGAGTGCACACCGCGTGGTGAGTCGGTGGGAACTTGGGGTCACCGTGCGGTTTCGAGATTCGGGTTGTTCTCCGAGGATGTCTCGAGCGGTTGGGGCCTTCGAGGTCCCAAACCGTGCGGTGACGGACTGCGCGGTGAGGTCGTTGGGGATTCCGAGGTCACCACGCGGTCCCCGAAGCTTTGTCCCAGGCGTTGCCCTCTCGGCCAACCCCCGGCAGCTCTCGGCTCTCATGCCAGGTGGCGTTGATGCCCTCGGACGCCTCTTTGCTCGCTCGGCCACTCGCCATCGATCTCCGCTGAACGAGAGGTTCGCGCCTCATCGACGCGGCGGCAGCCCCGGCGGCAGGCCTTCAAGGCTTAAGGTTTCCAGCGGCCCAGAACCAGCCGATCTGGAACAAAATTGTGCGGTCAGCAAGCGGCTGTCGCTTCAAGGTTGAACGGTCCATGCGGTCTCAGAGACCAGCGCTCGATTTGTCACGGCAAGAGCCCGCCGCAAGCTGTAGCAAGGCTTGGATGGAGTGTGTTTGCGCGTCCAGGGGGTGCGCTCCGGCTTGAGGCCTCCGGAGGCACAGAGAGATCGAAAGACGCCCTTGAAGTTTTCAGACCTCGCACCGAAGGAGGAGGATGAGGAGGAGAAAGAGAAGGAGGGGGATATCATCTTGGTAAGATATGCTTCCACCCTGGATCCTGACCCTCGGAGTTCCCCGGAAGCTGATAAGCGAGCCCCGAACGCCCAACATTTGTTTGGAGAATGCGACAACAAATCCCCCCCCAGCCCCCCGATCCTCGAGAGTTGATTGCACAAAATAGAAAGACCTTCTCCCTCCCCTCGTCGCGGCCGCGCGCCGTCCCGTCCCGCCCTCGAGGGATACGGGGGGAGGTTCCCGCGGGCAGGGGAATGCGAAGGGGGATGAGGAGGAGTGGGAGGAGGGAGGGGAAGGAGACAAGAAGATGGAGGAGGAGGCGATAAAGGAGGAGGCGGAGGAGGAGGTGGAGGACGAGGCGGCGGATGATGATGATGATGATGATGATGATGATGATGATGATGATGATGATGATGATGATGATGATGATGATGATGATGATGCTGATGCTGATGATGATGATGATGATGATGATGCTGATGATGATGATGACGATGATGATGAGGATGATGATGACGATGTTTATGATGATGACTATGATGTGGATGATGATTATGATGCTGATGTTGATGATGACGGTGATTATATTGTTGATGGTGCTAGTGATGGTGATGGTGATGCTGGTGGTGATGATGCTGTAAATGGTGATGATGTTCATGCTTATGGAAATGCTGCTGATGATGATGTGGATGATGCTGATGCTGATGAATTTGTAGATGATGATGATACTGAGTTTGATGATGATTGTGATGGTGATGGTGATGCTGGTGGTGATGATGATAA